AATGAATAATACAATAGCAGAAGCCTGTATATATAGGCTGATAAGAAACCTAGATAGGTACATAAGAAGATAGAGATACAATGAGACTGAGATAAGTATAGAATGAGATACAGATAGAGATATATTTACAATACAAATAGATAAGTATAATAATATACAGCTAACACCCCCCCTCAAGCTCAAGGTGGTAAGGCAGATATCAACTTGAGCTTGGAGAGGAGATCAGAGAAGCGGCCTGGGAGATGACCTTTGGTGAAGAGGTCGGCAGTCTGATCAACAGAGGTAACAAAGTGAAAACGAACAAGGCCACTAGTAACATGCTGGCGTATGAAATGGAAATCAATCTCAATATGCTTGGTGCGATCATGGAAGACATCGTTATGTACAATCTGAATAGCACTCTAATTGTCACAATAAAGATTGGTGGCAGCAGAATGAGAAACTCCAATGTTAGAAAGAAGCCAACAAAGCTACACAAACTCCTGAGTAGTGTCAGCAAGAGCATGATACTCAGCCTCGGTACTAGAAAGAGCAACAAGAGTTTGCTTCTTGCTACGCCAGGAAATGAAGAGAGTTACCCAAGAAAAAGAAGAACCCAGTAGTGGAACGACGGTCAGAAGGATCCCCGGCCCAATCGGCACCAGAAAATGCATGCAGTTGCAGCGAAGAGTGAGGGGAGTAGTGAAGACCATGAAACAAAGTTCCTTTAGATTGGCGGATTGAAGAAAATCAATCCGCATCCGTCCGCCAATCCGGCGGATGTGGATTGAGCGGATTGGCGGTTTGGCGGATGGATGCGAATCGGTTTGGCGGTTTAAAATTTTATAAATTTTCAACATAATTCAACTTGTGCACTTCCTCAAAAAAAAAAAGTATTACGGTCAATGACTTAAAAAAGTATTACAATCACTGTATGCCTTATTCAAAGAAAGAAAGTTTAAAACTTTAGAATATCACGATCACTGCATGCCTCATCCACATATTACAATCACAGCATGATTCATCTACATAAAGTATTATAATCTGTGATTCTTAAAATATAATAACAATTCAAACCACCAAAATCATGAACAGAGTAGTGTCTACATATGTTTTTGAAAACAAAAACCAACCAGCATATATCATATTTTCTATTTATTATTTTTAGAGTTAGATTTAAAAACTAAAAAATATAGATGAATAATACGTTTATTTTTCTCAATTCAAAAAATATATTCAAGTTGAAAACTTTTTTTCAACAGAATATTTAAACTCTTTTTCAATTGAAAACACAAACATAATATTTAAACAAATTGAAAATACAAAGTTTTATAAATTACTAGGGGTGCTCACGATTTGGCGGTTTGGCGGTTCGGTTGCGGCCACAAAATCTCAAATCCGCCATCCGTCCGCCAAATTGGCGGATTGGAGAAAATCAATCCGCAACCGTCCGCTCGTCATCACGCATCCGTCCAAAATGCAGCGGATCGGTTCGGTTCGGTCGGTTTTGGCGGATCGGTATATCCGCTGCTCACCCCTAATACAATCACTCTCCTATATATAGAAGAGAAAAACATACTCACCTACCACACTCAACTCTCACCTAACACACTTACATCTACCTACCACACTCAACTCTCACCTAACACACTCAACTCTACCTACCACACTTACAGAGGGATTCACCCTTGCAAGGACAAATTTATGCCAAACAAAATAAAAGGCAAGTTCAACTGATAAATTGAGTCTCTGTGTCCTCAAAAGAAGCCTATTTCATTCCCACCATTAACACCACATCAAACCCAAGGATGCAACCGCCCCAGCTTCCTCTTACTAAATAGAAAGAAAAACATGAAGAACGGAAAGAAGAGAAAAACATTATCAACACTAAGAAGCTATATCAACATATCGGCTATGTGAGTCACGTCTCTCACAACATGTCAAAGTCCATGTAACATGAATCACAAGCTTCTCATAGTGGTTCATACTCACTTTAGTGATTACAATTATACCATAGTTACAAGATACACAGACCAAGTAGGAAACTAAAAACTTCAGTTAACTAGGAAAACATATTTTCAATAATCATTCAGCATTTAACCATAGGTGTTCAATGTTAATCACTCAAATCCAGCAGCATAAAAGGCAACATTAAAAGAGAATAATAACCAAAACAAACACCAAGGCATCAGATTCAACCTTCAGTATTATAGGAAGTGTAGATAGCTCAACGGCAGGCAACTCCCTCAATTCACTGTTGACACTATGATAAGTCTCATCTGCAGAAGTAACAACAAAGATCAACTATTCATAGCATCATGAATAATACAAGTTTTTTATGAATAATTGTTTAAAATGACAAAATAAAAATCTGCAGGACAAAGGGCCTGTGAAGGCATTTAACTAGCAGTGCTGAAAAAATAGTTGGTAATGTGTTTGGCAAAGGTTTCCTAAGAAGTGCTGAAATAGGGACATATATGAAATTATCACTTTTCTTCAGACAAAGTTCAAAAGTTCATATAACTCAATGTAGGGTAAATTACAATGACCCCTCCCTTGAAGTATAGAAAAATTACAATTAACCCCACAGTTTTAACATAATTACAAAAGCTTCCCCTCCACTAACAGCAGGTTAAATGAAGCTAACTGAGTTTATGAATTTACTATCACACCCTTTATTATTTTTTATTTTATGGAATAATTATAACTTCTTTAAAAAGAAAAGAAATCTTGTGTAGTAGCTCATGAATGCACCGAGAAATCTTGTATCTTGCCTAACATACACAAGATTTCTCAATGGATGTGCACTAAGAAACCTTACCTTGCATACACTAGATTTCTCAATGTACTCTTAGCTTTGAACTATAAATTCTAAGCAAACTTAAAAAGTAAAATCTAATACCACTTAACTCCATCAAACACATGGATGGACACCTTTTCAACTATTTGGTTACTCAACCCAACAAGGAAACTGACTTATTCAAGTTACAACAAGAATGCTATTAGATGTCCAACACATATGTTTTCTACGAACCTATACAGATAGCATCCAATACACAAACAACTAAATTTACGTTGGTATGATGTTAACAATCATAGATCACCAATAGATAGTTTTAGCCTCCCTAAGACGTTTGAGTCAAATCAAAATAGAAACAACAAAACCAGTTGAAATTAGAAAGTTAAACAATGATTCAAGTACCAATCTGACTATGTTCGTTCCAATCACCCAAATAGATCCAATATTTTAACATCCAAACTAAAGTAGCAATATCAAGGCTCCCGAATAATCTTGAGAAAAGAGAAAAATAAATTACAGACTATCTACACAAATTGGACCAACAAGACCTTCCTATAATTAATCAGATAGCAACCAGCTTCTAACTTTACAGAAATTGGGAATTCAAGAAAGGATAAATCACATGAAAATATGACAATAATTGTTTTAAGAGTGGATCATAGCTAATACTTACTGTTAAGAGTATTAAAATGCATGTTTCTTTGCACACTACAAATGTTATCCCTACATGAAAAAAGTATGTCATTAGGTAATAAAGAAAAATAAATAAAAGCTTAAAAAACTACAAAGCAATAGAACGCCAATGAGAAGATACTATTACTAGTTACCATATGTATGAGCACCCTGTAGTCTCCTGAAAGCTAAGAGCTAATTCAGTTGAAAACTCTGGATCTCTCCATGAGATAATTGTATCTGGAAGGAGGGGAAAAAAACTAAATTAAGCAATAACCCTAAGGAAAAAACGAATAACAAGAATCACTTGTGTAAACAAAAAGAATACCTTCTTGTTTTCGGTAAATATCATCTGAACTAATACGGTGAACAAGTAATGTTTCATTGTCTTCTTCATCAATGACAAACAAACTCAGTTCTTCTGCTCTCTTGTTATGATATTTGGATTCAATCAAAATATCAGTCAATTCATTTTGACAAGGAACCTTTGATCACAAATTTAGCAATGTAAGGGAAAAACAGATTATGGAAACAACCACACCTCCAAATAATCAACAGTAACATGCCCAGTTCCTTGGTCATCCCACTTCCCATCACCACTCAGACGGTAGACTTTGACACGCTGAAATTTAATTGAAATTAAATATAAACTAAGAAGCACTTTCACCAGTTAAGAAAAACTTAACAGAATTCTCACTTAACAATGGTGCCAAAGATAATAGGCAGACATAAAATAGAAACCCACCATTGAAAGATACACCATGATCAAATGCATCTATAGTGCACAAGGAAGAGAGGTTCATAGTGTGTACATACGGTGACTACAACCAGTTCTGAAAAAGCCTCTCGAGAGCTAATAGTGAAAAACATGGTTGTTAGAATCGTGTGATTCACAATACAATTTAGTTATATTGATATTTATTTTATGTTAAACATTGTGTATTTGTAGAAATATATAAAATGGCAAATACTAACAAGAGCCCCGGCGGCATTGTTTAATATTGGGATTCATGTAAAAAGTGTTTTGGAAATGGTGAAAAAGTACAAAATTAATTCAATGAGAAAATGTATTGAAAATTAGTGAAAATTGTCTTATATTCTAAACTTTTTTGTTTTTTTCTTATGCCCAGGAGCACTTGTTAGCAAGACCCATTGTTGGCTACATATTTTGTATAAGCCAATTGCAATTCGACACGTGGCAGGATAAGGGCAATACGGGAAGACAATTCAAATCTTCAATCATAATCACACACGTGGCAATTAGTATTGATTTTTGTAGAGCTGCATAGCACTGGATCAGCAAAGAAATGCAAGATGACGTAGCTTCAACAGTTACTCATATTTAAATTCAAAATCAGGAGGGAAGCCTAACTGCAGATATGGCATAGTGGAGCTAACTATAAGGCAACATGATCAGCGACCATGGAGGGATGGTTCGACGGTTAGAAATGCAGTTCGACGGTTGTCATTGAGAAGTATAAATAGTAGAGAAGGCCCCAGAAAGTGCCCCCAGACTCAGATCCAAAAAACCAGTTTTATTTACTTTATTTTTCCTTCCAGTTTTTACATTTCTGTACTTCAAATTCCTACACTGCACTTCGTTCATAGGAGTAGTTTCAAGTAGTTTGTTGCTGTAAACCTCTACGAGGCTGATTTGGATCTGTGTAAGTCTTTCATTTTACTTAATGAAATACTACAATTGTTCTTCATTTAATCATTGTTTACTTAATTCTCCTAAACAAAGCCACCAGTAAAAGTCCTCTTTATTGAGGCTGAAAGAACTAAAACATAATCGTCTGATAATTGGTTGGCAATTAAAATTCTGTAAGGACTGATTGATCTTCGCTGGCACGCTCACAATTACAAAAATAACCTTCGAAAGCCAAAAGGCCAACGCATATTTTTGGCACGCCCAGTGGGACAAATTAAAATGGCTAGACGTAGGAGACAAGGAGCAAATGAACGCTTGGAAGAAGGCATGGAAGGAGAGGTAGAAATACCTAATCTAGAGAATAATGTGATAACACATCCTGTGGAGGTACTTGTTTTATCAGAACCTATGGTTGAATAGACTAGCACTTCGGAGCAAGTACCACATGTTCAAAATATTGGACGAGGCCAAGGAATTGGACCATCCACTGTTCCATCTACTCGGCCAGTGAATCCATGGGGAGGCCTAGTAGATGCCATGAGATAACAGTTAATGAACACAATGAAAAGATGGGCAACATCCTTTTTGGATCGACTAAATACTCATCAACCAATTAACACAAGGCGCACAGAAGAAATTTCAAATGTCTCTCAGCAAAGATTGGCTAGAGATAAACAGCCTATGTAGAGTAATGGACATACTAATGGTCAAACTAGTAACCAAAACTATGAAAGATCATCACCTCAGTCTTAGTATGAGCCTCTTTCGAGGCCTGTGACAACTCAAAATGCCTCATTACTTAACAGTAAAGCCATACAAATTGGTGTATCTGGCCCAACACAAGAAAATGGCACAAGGATGCTTCCAAATCCCATGTTCAAAGCCATACCTGGCACAAGAGGTTCACTAATACCTTGTTCGAATTTATACTCGGGGGATTGGAAAGGTTTCCTGCAACTGGAAGAGACACAACACCTGTTCCAGCACCTTTTGCAGGTCTTTTTGCAAGACAGGCTCTGAAGGGTCACCCATACCCTCAATAGCAGCCAACACCACAGGGATAACCAGTCCCAAACATACCGCCCTATGGACCAAGAGGACCCCAGGCACAAGGTTGTCCACCAAATCCTGTGTTTGTTCCTCCAATAGTGGTTCAACAAGCACAAAATATGGTCCCTAGGGATCAAATTGCCGATATTGTTAGAGAGATGTGTGGACCAATTGCTCAGGGGATTCAAACTCCTGTGTACAGGAAACCATACCCAGAATGGGTAGATAGGGTACATGAATACCCAAGAGGCTTCAAGATACCAGACTTTGCTCTTTTTTATGGGAAAGGAAACCAGTCGACGGTAGAGCATATTGCTAAGTTCACCGCTTAATGTGGTGAATTTACCAATAATGATTGCATGAAGTTAAGACTGTTCCCAAATTCTCTTACTGGGGCAGCCTTCGTATGGTATATTAACCTTACACTGGCTCTATTCAGACTTGGCAACAAATAGAGAAGACATTTCATACCCAATTCTTCCAAACAAAGCCAGAAGTTTCTATGACAGACTTGGCAAGATTGAGTCAAAGGCCTGATGAAAATGCTACTTAGTTAATTGCCAGATTCAAAAGAACACGAAACAAATGTAGGATCATCTTACCAGAGCCTGAATTTGTGAGATTGGCTCAAAATGGTCTAGAGTTTATGCTTCGAAAGAAGTTTGACTCAACTGAGTCTAGAGACTTAGTAGAACTAACCTATAAGGTGTTTAGGTATGAAGCATTACTAGAAGAAGAACAAGATCGAAGTAATGCATCATACAAGACGTGTTATAGAGATCCTAATTATGAGATTGATGCAGCAGAGATTGTGAGGAAAGAACCTGTGATCTATGAGGCATTAATTCATAAAGACACAACAATTGACCAGCAGTTAAAAAAAAAGACCTTCATAGGAAATACTCTTTCGATTTAACAAAGGCAGATGACATTTTTGATCATTTGCTTATGGCAAACTTCCTGTAGTTACCGAAAGGGGTCAAAATTTCGTCTCTAGAGGAACTAAAAGGAAAAGTGCATTGTAAATGGCATAATTCTTGGTCTCACTCAACTTAAAACTGCATTTTTTTTCGAGACAGGATCCAAGAGCAGATTCGAAAGGGGAGTCTAAAATTTCTAGCTAAAGCAGAAAAGGCCATGGGGATTGACGCTAATCCATTCCTAGAAATTTAAGAAGCGGCAGCCAATGTTAGTATGCCAGACTTCCAGAACTTATCTTTGAAAGAATTGGAAGAGGTCAATGTGCAAATGCAGGTTGCCAGCCAGACTACTGTCAGGAAAGATGCTAGAAGTTTACCGGCTGTTGGACAAAGTTTTGCTGACCAGAGGGAAGACTCTGATGAAGAGGCACTGGATGATGATTCTTTAGAGGCAGCTGTCATGCAAAGAATGTGCCCCAGATGCAGGTTGAGCTACAAGTGATTGAAAGGACTTCCGATTGATAGGAAATAATATTACAAGGATATGCAAAGGCGTTCTAAACCAACCAGTGCTTACAACAAAAGGCCATATCTAACTGGTCCTAAGCAGTAGCCATTCATGACTGGGTCAACAGCTACCAAAGTGTAATCCAAGGGTAAAAGACCTCTACATGAGTTTAGACCACCCAACTATTACAGAATGGAAGGCAATCGTCCTGAATGGAGGCCTGAAGTAGGCTCAGGTTATGGGATCAAAGCCAGAGATTGGCCCCCTAGATCAGCATCACACAAGATGGAAAGTGGCCACCTTCATGAAAAGCCTGAGTTAGGCCCAAAGCAAGGAGTCAAAGCCAAGCAGTGGCCCTCATAGCCAGCTTCGAAATTGGCTTCGAAGGAAAAAAGAGGCAGCTCGTCGACTGAGCTAGTGGGTTCATGGGTTCCTGGAGTTCCAGATTGGTTTGTCATGTAGAACAAACCTAGGGAAATGTTTACCCAAAGAAATATTGTTAGAGACCAAGGTAGGATGGTTAAACCTGCTTTGATAGTTCTAAATAATTGGGTGTTACTAAAGCATCCAAAAACAAACGAACCAAATATGGTCCTTGTGATTTCTAGGTCCCAAAGGAGGAAGATCCAGCGAAAGTACACTCAGTACCGCAGGGATATGAAAGAAAGTGGAGAAAGCTCTTCATTGGACCAGCCAAAGCGCCAAGCAGACGGAGAAAAAAGTTTAAAGTTAAATCATAATCCAAAATCGACTCCTCAAGACAAAAGGAGTTGCAACAAAGAGCAATTGGCCAAAGTTCATTCCGAACTGAAAGCCAAAGAGAGATCCAATTTCGCAGGACTGGAAAAGGCTTTGATGAAAAATGATAGTGAGACAGAGGAAGAACTTGGCCTAGGCCAAAGGAAAGAGATGGCTGAGGAAGAAATGTTTGAAGTCATCATGGCTGAACAAACATTTTTGGTTGAAAAACCAGCAAAAACAGACCATTCGAAGAAAGTTAATAGTACTGAAGTGCTAGAATGCAGCATGAAAGATGCTTCTGAAGTAATTGAACAAGTTGGCCAGTAAGAGAAACAGGTACAGCCAGCCATCCAATTTGGCTGGTTTCCTCCAGTATCAGTGAATATGGTACATATACTACCACAGGAATTCCAAGCTGAGGATGAGAACCAAGAAGGTCACGAAATTGACCCAATTCCAGTTTCTAGTGAAAACTCACAAGTGAGTATGGTGCAAGATGAATCCGAAGTGGCCATACCAATGGAAACTGGAGATGAGAGTGAGAAAGAGATGAGTATTAACCTCTCATACCCTTTTCCCACGACATCCATGACACAGCATATCAAACCCTTGTATATCAAGGCCTTCTTCGATGGGATACAAATGAACCGAATATTGGTGGATAATGGGGCAGCAATAAACCTGCTTCCGAAATCTTCTTTGAAGAAACTAGGAAAGAGGAACCCCAGACTAATCCCAACCAGTATAACCAT